TTCTCAGAATGGACTGAATTTGGTTCTGAATTTAGTTAACCATTCCCCAAACAGAAATCTATCTGGTGAATGAGTTCCACAGATGTGATCACCTCTTAACCCATGCAATGGTGCAGAAGTTTCAAAAAGAAATAGTAATCAGACAGCCAACACTGGATAAGGGATCCTCTGAAGGTAGGGTATTGGGGTTGGTTCTGGAATGGCCTTGGGGCTAGGGTACTCACCTGGGCAGTATAGGGTGGAGAGTTCAAGTCTTGTCTGCTATGGGAGTAGCAGGACAGCCAATACAGGCATTCACCTGAGGAGCACAGGGTGGTGGGTTCATGTCCTGCCCCATCCCACCCTAGGAGTGGCTGGACAGTGAACACAGGTTGCCCCAGGGGTGGAGCTTGCTTCTGCATTTGGAAGGTAGGATAAGGGACCCTCTGGTGGTGGGGTGGGTTCTGAAGCAGAATAGAGATCCTTTCCAAAAGAGAGCCAGAAACCAATTAAACTAAGGTGAGGTCTACTCAGGTAAATTGGAATTAAGATATGCAACACCAGCAACATTAAATATGTCGCTGGAGCTGACATACCTTAATTTGAACTTTGGCACTGTCCTCTTACTCTTCAAGAAGAGTAGGCGCACCAGCATTGTGCCTATTCTATTTAGCAGGTCCTTATTGGAGTCACTAAATCAAACACCAGAAGATTGACCTCTAGAGCTTTGATTGGTGGGTAAGTATAGATGGGGTCTAAGCAAATAATGGATTTTTGGTTTGGGGTGCACTGGTCTCTTAAATAAAGAAAATAAAACATTTCCCAAGTCACAACAACAAAAGAGACTATCAATACACTTTTGCATATAGAAAGGTGCTAACTTTTTTTTCATGTGTCAAGCCAAGAGACATAATTATTCATTTCAAGCATAAACTGTAACAACTATTTCTTTTCATGTGTTAATACTAATTGTTGGGATATGTAAAAAAATTAATAAGGGTCTGAAATTGCTCTATATTAGTGGTTCAGGAGTCAGCCGCAGCATTGCCCTTTAAATATGCTTTTTCCTTTTGAATTTTTGTAGTTTGGGAAGCTAGATTAAGAGTCTTGTCAAAACCATGATTATTCTTTCTGATGTATAAACATGTTCTTTCTCTTCATTCTTGTAGCCTAAGAAACCAGATAAGTGTGGAGTTGCTTTATTTTGTTATGTCTTTTGCTTATCCTCATTGGCGCTGTATAAAATATCTTCAGGGTTAACTTTCTTGCAATCTCTATAACCTGCTGATTTAGAAAGTTTATAGTGTACAAAGTGATTTAATTAGAAATTCTGTAAATAGTAATTAGGGGCAGGTATAATTGTATTAATCACCTACTTATTAATATTCATTTTATGAGAGTTAACATTACTAAATAAGGTTGTAGGAAAAGATGTGAATTAACATACTAAAGTAGATAAAAGGGTTGTTGCCACTTGGACGTTGTGTTGAATGAATGTCCGAGGTAGACGTGCCTGGGCAATACAGTGGTTCCATTTACTCCATCTGCTTCTGGATTGCCTGTTTCTTCTCTAGCACTACTGATAAAATATTTTGTTTGCCTTGTCAAGAAAATGAACAATTTTGTTTTATGCCTCAAAGGAACAGATACATGTAAGATATCAAATAGCTATTGAACATTTTGAAGTATTAATTTTCTTTTTATTTGATTTCATATTTAATAAATATTTAAAGTCATGCACTTTGTTAATTATCTGTTGTTTTAGTATTCTTTCTTCAATCACATTTTAAATATATGTGATATTTGTTAGTAATTGGTGCATGTCAAAGTAGCACACATCCGAGCAAGCACACATTACCTCAAAATTGGGGCACAAGACAAAACTTACTCCATTCATGGATGGAAAATCTTAGTGGGAACACTGAAGAGGGGATATGATAGAAGTATATAAAATCACATCTGATGTGGAGAAAGTGAATAAGGAAAAGTTATGTACTTTTTCCCATAACATAAGAACTAGGGGGTCACCAAATGAAATTAAAAGTTACTCTAGCAGGTTTTAAAACAAACAAAAGGAAGTACTTCATGCAATGCACAGTCAATTCTTTACCTCCTCTCCCTCCCCTCTGTTTTGGATCCCATCTCAGGAACTGGAAAGGTGTCGATCTTCATTGCCCTTGGTTCGGAGCATGAGTAGTACAACTGCACATGCACGGACCAACAGACATTACTTTCGCAAATTTTCAGTCTCAGCTGTGTGGAGCACATACTGCTTGTGGAATATAGAAAGGAACAACAAATCTTGAAAAATCTCCAATTACAGGTTAGTAATTTCTGCTCTCTGTCATACTTACACTGAACTCTGAATATTGTAGATGCATTTGTAATCAAAACAGGCAAGAATTTATGAAGAGAATAAAAGTCTCAGCAGAAGGTTTAAAATGTGCATATACTAATTAAGGATGTAAAATCCTGTTTAATTGGTTAACCAGTTCAACATAGTGTTAAACACAACCGGTTAAACATAAATCAATTAAAGGAGGAGCCGGGGGCAGGAGCGGCCCTCCCGCAGCTGGCAGGTGCTGCTCCAGCCCAGCCAAATCAGCCCCTACCTGTGGTGGGGGGCTGCTCCAGCCCGGGTGGGGTAAGGTGGGGGGCTCTACTGGCTCTGCGCAGGGCTGCTGACTGCTGGCCCCATGTGGGGGCCTGGTGAGGGACTCTTCCCACGTACCAGTTAACTGTTACTTGGTAAGCATCTCCCATTAAGGGTGATGCTTACTGGGTAAGTGATTAACCGGTTACCAGTTGAGATCTGTACGACTAATATGTAAATTCTAATGCTGATTATGGATTTAAGCAACTGCAAGGCATTGCAAGCCAAATTAAGCCCAGACCTTTTGTTTTCATTTCAGACTTCTGATTTCATTTCCCTAACAAAGACTAAACTATGGGATTTTTTTTTCAGTACAGATGCTCAAGAGAGAATAGGAATGCAATATCACTGGTTGTTCACCAGGCTTGCACTTCTAAGACGGGAAGTTAAAGATCATTGTCGCTGATCCATTTTCTTTTTGTTTCTGTTGGCATTGTCAATTTCACAATACAATAAAACTTACTCAGTGTTAGTTTAAAATATTATTTAAAGTTAAAGAAAAGGAGCATAGGAAAAAAATTATTTTAAAAATGATGAGCAGCATACATGCACACATTGTGCATGTTTCAAATATTGACTAGCTTTAACCTTTCACCTTCTTTATAATCTATTGATATGTTGAGTTAAAGACCACAACTAGTGTTTCTTTGGGGTTTATTAACTTCATTTTTCCAATATTTATTTTTAGCAATTTGTGTTCTCAGGCATTTTGAGAGATTTCTCTTTGATATTGTAATGGGAAGACTTTCTCTTTTTAGCTCGTTCTAATGGTTAATCACCCTTACTGTTAAAAATGTAACTTTCTGTTTGAATTTGTCTGATTTCAGCTTCCAGTCATTGGCTCTTTCTTCACCAGAATAAGGAACCTTATAAAACCCTGATTCTGTCCAAGGATCACATTAGCCCTACTTCCCACTTTGGCATGCTGGCATTTCATGTTTTGTTGTTTGTCCACTATGACCCTTAAAATCTTTTTTGTGTCATTGTCTTCCAGAACAGAGCCCCCAGATGTGTTAATTTGCAGTTTACCACAACATTATAATCATGGCTCGACAATCTATGTAATCTACTCACTGTGGCAAGTAGATTACATCCCGGAAGAGCTGGGTTTGGGTGATCTGCCGCATGCGCAGAACGATTTGCACATGCGCAGAACGCCGGACAGCGCGGCTGGGGAGTGGGGCTCGACGTGGCTTGGCAAGCCCTGATTATAATAGCGATTAATCATAGGATTGGAAGTGACCTCAGGAGGTCATTGAGTCCAACCCTCTGCCCAAAGCAGGACTAATCCCAACTAATCATCTCAGCCAGAGCTTTGTCAAGTCAACACTGAAAAACCTCTATGGATGGAGATTCTACCACCTCCCTAGGTAACCCATTCCAGTGCTTCACCACCCTCCTAATAAAATAGTTTTTGCTAATATCCAACCTAAACTTCCTCCAAATCTTTTCAACCTTTAAAAGAGATTTGAAGGAAGACAGAATAATTGATTTAGAGAAAGTACGTAAGGGACAACACAGAAAAGTATCCTACAAAATAGTACTTAAAAATAAAATATTTATAAGTTATACTAGTGTAGAAGATTTCTCTAACAATAGTATTTTCCGTATTGAAAAAAAAGGAAAAATAGAAAATGCCCTATTTTCAGGTTATGACCATGTTCTTAGTCCTAAAATAAACCATAGCTAGCTTCATGTTACAAAAACATGAAATAGCAGGTATAATACAGAGTAGACTTCCATTTTCATAAAATAGCGCTTAATACTCTTGTTGCATTAATGAACTATAGACTATGTTCCCTCTTTCTATAGAAATTGATCTGTCCTAAAATACAGACACTTTGTGTATTGTCATCTAGCATTCTTGCACAGAACTTGATGATAATAGGCCCATTCAGGATGGATCATTTATTGAGTCTCTCTTTTACCACCAGCGCAACTACAGTAAAGGCATAATTATCTTTACTTCATTGGAAATAGCAAAACTCTCATTGATTTCAGTGGTGTAGGATCGCAATGTTTGCTTATTAAAAAGTTTGAGGGACCCAAGCATGACCTTAAAGCCACATTGAGGAGGACATAAGTAGGATACTAAAGAGCCGTGTCTAGAGATCACGTACTTTTCACCACTTCCTCCCCAGTGATTTTGCTTCTTTTCTCCTTATCTCTTTTCTCTCCTTCATCTGGGAAGCATTAACTGTTAAGTGTGTGACTTACACTTATGAAACATTGTAAAATAACAAAAATATGGTTAGAATTTTGAAGAAATGTCTTCAATTTTCAAAGAATGGCTAAAAGTGGCTGCCAACTGATAAAAAGAGCATGTGATGTAATAGATTTATAGGTGTATTCTGTGTGCTTTCACTAGCAAAGAAATGAAGGAGCTGGAAAAGTCTGGAATGCTGAAAGGAACTCTCAGTGCAGAGAAGCAATTGTCTCTTATTAGTGGCTGTATGGACCTAAAGACAGCAATAGAGGGGGCAGTTTTCATTCAGGTGAGTTGAGACTTTCCCGTTTCTAGGAAAGATTATGTACCTGCAATATTTTGTGGTTCTCATTTGGGGGAAAACTGTTGAATGCATACTGAGGCAGTAAACCATATATATATATATATATATATATTTCTTCATTTATCTTCTTAACTCCATTTTATTTGAAGAAAAAATTGTCATGCGGGTAATACGAGACTTAAAATCCTCACTCTTTGTCATCCGGCCTCATATTAATATTTGCTGGCTATGCTCTGGTATAACCCATTAGCAAAGTTTGATCTTTTAGAATCAAATGTTACCTCATAGTATTGGCTAAACATGAAAAACTATTTGAATTCATCTTATTCACTTTCTGCTTGAATGTAAGAATCTCTGCACCATTTTATTCCTGTTGTCTTGTTTGTGAGGCTGCACCCTTCACTGCACACAACTTTGTAAAAAGTGGCCAAACTAAGTTCTTTGTGTCTCATTCACCACACTTCAGTTATTGGAATTTAAAAACAGGAATAAGGGGCAAACCACTATAATTGCATATTCAGAGGGTCTTCACTAAGAATGAGTAATTTTTTTTATGTAGAGTGCAGTGTAAGAGGCTGCAGTGAAGGAAAAGCTGTCTCTAGGAGGCTGTAATGTAAAAACGAGTTATATACCCCAATATATTTTAACATCTGGAAAGGCAGTCAGTGGACACAACTGCGTCTCTGATGTGGTGGTTAAGAAGCTCATGAAAGTGTTCTCTCCATCTACTCAGACGTTCTGCCCTGGGGTTCAGTATGTTACTGCGTCTGTCTTTGACAAGCAAGGCTTTGTTTCGTGGACTGGCTTTTAAGTTTTGCAGTTCTTTGTAGACAGTGTCGTAGTTGTTTCCTGCAGATGCAGCTTCAATCAGATGAGCCTTCTTTGCCTAAAATGTCTTACTGTCCTGTTTTAAAGCTGTAGTCTGCAAGGTATTGAAGAGCTGTTCTTGGTTGGTCCTCCTTAAGCAAGTTGTACCTCATTATTTATATTTATCCAGGATCTGTTGACTGAGCCATTGATGTTGGGGGCTGTGATGGCTTTTTTCCAGCATTTTGTTGGTGACATCCATAACCAAAGACGGAAAACAGTTCTACAAATTGTTCATTTGCTTGTGTTCAATGCTTTCGTCTGGAAGGGCTAGGTCATCAAACTGTTTTGCAGGTTTGAGCCTGGTATTACATTGTAACAGCGGCCTCGGCATTTTAGGAGCTTTGAGTTGTGGAACTGCATCATTCTCCTCTCTTCTAGGGTTTCCAAAGTAAATAAATATAACATAAAATTCTCTAAAGGATTTCCTTGCATAAGATCATGATGGATATCTGTCCATTATATAATTTAGTGATGTTGTAACTGTGTTAGTCCCAGGAGATTAGAGGCTTGAAAGCCCAGAAGTTGTTCCAATAAAAGATATTGCTTAACCCACCTTGTTTCTGTTATCTCTCTCTATATATAAAAAAACTTTTCCTGCAGGATGACAGAGTTATGTCATGTGTCATTCTGCATCCCACAGCCCCTCCCTCTACCTTCAGTTGTGTGGCTTCCCCTTTCTCCTGTGCTCTGGGGAGCCATGAGCCATGCGGCCTCCACACTCAACCCTCCCCTGTGCTTGAGATGGTGGGGGCGGAAGGAGCCGCACGGCCTTGGGCCAAGATCCTGGGAAGAGCTGAGCCTGGCACAGCTTGGACCTAGCCCTGGGGAAAGCCACGCCTCGTGCATCTTTGCCCCTCTCCCCCACCAGCGGCTGCGGGGGGGAATGCAAAGAGCCGGGGCTGGAGTGGGGCCCAAGAGCCAGGGTGGCCTTGGAGCTGGGCCCTCCCCAGCGATTGAGGGAGGGGGAAAGGGCCAGGGCAGCCTCAGACCTTCCCTGGCAGCAGGGGAGGGGAGGAGAAAAACCTCAGCCTGACCCCTCCTGGTGGCTGGGGGGAAAGTCAGGCCTGGTGTGGCTTTGGCCCAGCCTCTCCTGGTGACTGGAAGGGGGCAAATTTGGGGCTTGTGGGGGACCCAGGAGCTGGGGCTGGCTGGGGTGGCCTCAGAGATGGGCACTCCCCGGCGGCCAGAGGCAGCGGGGAAGAGAACTGGGCCAGGGCGGCCTTGTACCCTCTCCAGCGGTGGGGGAGGTGAGAGAAGAGCCAGGGTCGGGTGGCCTTGGCCCAGGGCCCTCCCTGGCCAAGAAGGGGTTAGCGAGCAGGGAGTGCAGCCCCCTCGTACACGTATAAAATACTTTAGCTAATTAATACACTACATTAACGGATACAATTCTGTAGTGGAAGAGGGGAGAGGGTAGTTAAGTAATGTAGTTCTGAAAATTAGAGTCCATGCGCCCTATCTTACATTTCATATTGAGTAAAGTTGAACAGACACACTTGCAAGGCTGATACTTGTGCTGAACAACATGCAGTATATATTACAAGTACCATAATCTAAAATTGAAGGAACGAGAACAATTTTGTTTTCTGAACTGTAGAAAAGCTCAGAATGTGTCTTTCATGATTCTGGATGTCACCTTCCTGAATTAGTGATTCTGTGCAATATCATATGGGCAGAGATTTTTCCTGTTATTTTAAGAGCTCACGTATTTAGCAAGCATCAAATTTCGGCTAGTATGAGCTAAAGCATTTGGGATATCTGAGTAGTTGTTTTTTTGCTTCTTTAGTTTTGGGCAGAATTGCAGCAGCTGAATTAGGAGTTAGTCATTATATTAAAAATCAGCTAGATTGACCAACACTCTAATGGATGCTTTATAATACCTATATAATAAAAGTAACCAAATAGATGGGTCTGTGGCAGTGAGCTAAGATCATATCACTGCTTCCCTTCTGAACATCATTTTCATCAGTCTTTTCAAAATATCATCATATAGGCTGATTATAGGCGTTTCTTCCAGGGCTATAATTAGCCAAAGATTTAGAGCCTTGTTCAGGATGGTTAAAGAGTTAGCAGTTTCATAGAGGTAGCCGTGTTAGTCTGCGACTTTAAAAAAACCAAGTAGTTCTGTGATACCTTAGAGACTAATAAATATATAGTATCATGAGCTTTTGAGAGCAAAACCTACTTCCCATGACTCTGCTCATCTGAGGAAGTGAGTTTTGCCCACGAAAGCCCATGATTATATATTTATAATATATAATTTGTTAGTCTGTAAGGGTACATCTACACGGCAACATTATTTGGAAATAACTTAGTCCGTGTCTATTTTGAAGTAACTGCCTGCTGTGTAATGTGGAAGTACTGTCAAGCTGGTGGACTTCTTACTCTGACTCCTGTAACCCTCATTGAATGAGGAGTAAGGGAAGTTGGACGGAGAGAGCTCTATTTCAAAATGAGTGCTGTGTAAATGCTTCCAATTTGGAAATAAGCTATTGACATATCTCATTTTGTGTAGCTTATGTCGAGTTGAGCGCTGCTGAGCCCTAAGGTGCTACAGAACTACTCGGGTTTTTTTTAAAAGTTAGCAGTTGTCTTTCCTGGGCTTCTGTTATTTCACTTATGTAAGAACGCCCAGAAAGTATCTTGGTTTCAGACTGAATTCTGTTTTTTTTCCTGGGTGCTCAGTGCCTGGGAGTGTTGTAGCTCCAGCTCATCAGCTTGTTTCAAAGATGTGGCATAAGTACCTCATGTTGCTTTTTTATTTGCAGCAGATGACTTGGGAATGGCATCAGATTAGATGGGGCTCACTATCTCAACTTACTGTGCAATTGGTAAAAAACCCTTGCCTTTCCCATGCATTCAGATGCTGAACTACATTTTCTGCATCTTCATCTACTTTAGATGGAGATGGGAGCTTCCTTTCTTATTAATTGTTCTTTAGTCATTCTGCCTCTTTTATGCAGCTCTAGCTCATTTTTCATCCTTGATTGTTGTTTTTGCATGTGCATCCCTGATGTCAGATACACACTATGGGAAAGACCTGTCTAGTCTTTGCCTTGAATGGAGAGCCCTTTTGGATTTAGATACCAGGATCCTCTGTTTTTGTTTTCTTTTTTGCTTTTCTCTCTTAGGATATATCTGCATGGATATGCCCCAAACAGTGAAAGACTGTGATGATCTTCTAAGCAGTAATTTTATTAGGGTACGTCTACGCTAGCCCCCTAGATCGATCTAGGGAGGCTAATGAGGGCGACCAGAATTGCAAATCAAGCCCAAGATTTAAATATCCCGTGCTTGATTTGCATGTTCCTGGCCGGTCGCCATTTTAGAAATTGACTAGCCCGAAGTAACTACACTCGGCAGTGAAACGGGATTCTGGAATAAAGCCCCTAAATCGAATTAGGTGGTAAACCTCATTCCACGAGGAATACCAGCTAATTTGAGTTAAAGCTTTAAATTGGAATCCTGTTTCACTGCCGCGTGTAGACGCGGGCAGTTACTTTGGGCTAGTCAATTTCTAAATAGTGACTGGCCTGGAACATGCAAATCAAGCATGGGATATTTAAATCCCGGGCTTGATTTGCAATTCCGGTTGCCATCATTAGCCTCCCTAGATCGATCTAGAGGGCTAGTGTAGATGTACCCTTAGAGAAGAAGAAGAAATAACTTTTTAGCATAAAATAGCATGCACAGACACCTGAATCTCAAGTTACCTAGCTTTCCCCATATAGGCCCCAAATTATTGGCGTTACAAAGCATAGCTCACAAATTGTCAGTGATCTTAGTCCTTTCTCTAGGTTATTTATTGTGAGTCTCTGCTGACAAACCCAGTTCCTAAGGTAACGTTCTTGCTCAAGAGAGCTGGCTGCTGATTATAGTAGTTCCATCTTGTTGAATATGCAAGTATGTATTAATACGTTTTCTATTGCGTTCCCTATTTCTCTCTGCATAGGGAAAAACAAATATTTGCATGAGGGTCTTGTCTTCACACTGTTCCTTCAATACAACACACTTTGTACATTTTACTTGTATTCAATATTTTATTGATCTTGTCATTTGGCTCCTGTCCTTTCAGGTGTTTGAATTTAAGGAGATGTGACTTAATCATGTCTTTCCTTTCTTACCCCTGCCTGAGTCAGACTGATTTGTGTAGCAGTCCTGCCCCACAATTGTAATACCCATCCTTTCCTCCCCCACAGTCTGGGATGAAATTCTTTTTAGCTGTATTAGATTTCCGTTAGCCTGGTTCATGGAGTTAACCAAATTATACTCATGCACTCTCTCTCGAGCATCAAATATTGGAGAATCTTATTCATAATTTCTAATCTATCACTAGATACAAGTGATAAATTTGTGGACAAATTCAGGGTGCAAGCTCTGGGAAGGAGTTTGGGTGCAGGGGGACTCATATCTGGGGCAGGAGGTTGGGGGTAGGAGGAGATTCAGGGCAGGGACGGGTTCAGGAAGCAGGCTTTGGCTGGGCATCACATAACTGAGACTGCTTCTGGGTGGTGGAGCAGTGGGGTTAAGGCAGGCTTACTCCTGCCCTGGCCTTGCACAACTCCTGAAAGCAGTTGGCATGTACAGCAGTGGCTCCATGGTGTCATGTGCTGCCCCTCAACTAAAGGCACTGACCCACAGCTTCTGTTGAGTACGGTTCCCCATTACTGATCAACGAAAGCTGCAGGAGTGGGTTTTGCAGGCAAGGACAGCATGTGAAAACCCCCTGCTCAGCCTTTCTCAGGGGCTGCAGGGTCATGCCAGCCACTTCTAGGAGCAGCAATTACTATAGGGATAATTACTCCAGCCACGACAGGTTAGGCAGTTTAGAGCTCACTGCTCAAAGAATTAAATGTAAACATAAAAGAGAAATGAAAATTATGAAATGCTCAGACCAGTAAAAACCAAAAATAACACACTTTACAAACACTTTTTTGTTGTTAAAAGAGGTAACAACAACAGCAACCCATGTATGTGTTGGGTCAGGAGATGAGAGTGAAGGATAGTGTGTGTTTGTGAGAATGACAGACACACACAGTGTGTGTGTGTGAGTGAGAGATTTGCATTGCCAGGCTCCCTCCAACCCCTTCTCTCTGTGTGGAGATGGGGTATTGGAGTGGGGGAGGAGGGACATTCTGACATTAGCACCCCTACCTCTTCTCCCTCCCACACACTGCACAGCAAGCAGGAGGCTCCCAGGGGAGCAGCACCAAGACAGAGAGCAGCAGCTGCATGACAGTGGATGAAGGGGGCAACTGTAGTGCCAGCATTTGATAGCTTCCCAGCCAGACTGGTCAGGATCACTTGTCAGAGGCTCCAAGATCTACTGGTAGATCCCGATCTATTGGTTGGTGACCACTACCTTAGACTTAGGACGTAAAGTATGGCTACAGAAAAAAATTCTCACTGGCAGAATCATCAAAGACCAGTTAATGTGCAACTAATTAGTGTGCTTTAGAAACCGTACCCACATTAGATACATTACCCAATTATATAGACAAGCCCGTACTGAAAACTGTTCTTAGGATTACTTTAGCCACAATCCTTCAATGAGATCTATAGGGTCAATTCCCTTCGCCTATACTAGTGTTTTTAACTGGCCATGTTGGTTTGTTTACTTACCTAAGCTGTCCCCTACAGAAGCCCCTAGTTTGGGAGAATGTCCCGAACGCTCTGTCTTACAAAGAATTGAGCTAGTATCAGATGTTGACAATAATAGGTACTAATAATGAATAAATACCTCTAGCTGTTTTTGAGTATCATACATTGACCTTTTAGAGGTTGGTGCAGGCTTTTAAAAAGTTTTATTGAATGCATAATCTAACTTGGGGTGTGTCTAGACTACAGAGTTTTGTCGACAAAAGTCCACTTTTGTCGACAAAACTATACCTGCGTCTACACTACCGCTGAGTTCTGTTGACATAACGTCGACAGAACTCAGCAGTTTTGTCGACGCTGGTAAACCTCATTTTACGAGGCATAACGCCTTCTGTCAATAGAGTTTCTGTCGACAGAAGGTGTTATTGCATGTAAACTGTCCTTTGCGTCTACACTACCATGTCGACAAAGCATCTTGCTTTGTCGACAGAACTCAATGTAGTCTAGACGCTCTTTGTTGACAGAAGTTTTGTCGACAGTATCTGTCGACAAAACTTCTGTCGACCGAAGCCTGTAGTCTAGACATACCCAAAGTTGTGTTAGAGCATTCAGCCTACATTCCAGTCTTTGGGTTTGTCCACACTATGCTTTCTGGTTTCAAGTTAATTGATTGCCAATTAGCTGGAGGTTGCTAAGTTTTTAGAGGCCTTTTGTTCTGGGTTACAGACTTTGTCCTTTACCTAAGGTTAAGGCATAGCAGTACATTAACTTGATGTACAAAATTCTAGTGTACAGCTTCATCTTTTAGAATTGCCACGTCTCTCAAGATCAGGCTCTAAATTGGTAAGGTGGAGTCAGTGCTTTCAGACTGAATGTGCATTTACACTGAAGTGTTTTAATTTATACTTTAGATCCATTGAGAGTTGAACTTTAAAAGGTACCTCACAAACTTCTGTACAGTGCAGCCTCTCCAGGGTATTGTTGAAAGCCAACAAATTGGCAGATTCTCGTCAGGCTGTTACAAAATATGTTTATGGTGAGGTTTAATTAAGTTGAAAGTTGGGTTATAGTAATCTCATTTAGGCATTAGAGCCTTGGAATAAGGGTGTAGTGTTTGCTGCAAATGAGAAGTGTGATAATCTCAAAAACAGAGGGGGGAGCACAGATATATAGTGTCACTTAAAATGCATTCAGAAGGACTCTAACCTTATTGCACTGACTATTACAGAGAGCATATGATAGGCTTAGTATTCTATTTTATCTACCTATTATTTGATCTCTCTTTTCTCAGGGTAAACAGAATAGCTGTAGACTTCTCCAAGTTCTGTAATTGACAGCAAGTGAAGTTCCTGATTAATAGTTTGTTTAGGGCTTAGCTTTCTCTTTGTCCTTCAAGGAGTCAGTATCCCTGACTGAGAAAATAATTCCATGCTTCACAAGGACAGAAACTTTATTCCACCTGTCCAACAAATTGAATACAATTGTGTCCCTATACAAGAAACTTCAAGCAAATGTTCCATTCAGAAACCTTACATAATCATAGCTGGTTTGAGTTTCCTGCAGTTTTGAGCTTTCCCCTTTTGATTATCATATGATCTGAAAGAAGGCATAGTATTTCAGGCAGAGAGTCTCACAATAAGTTCTCACAATAAAGCAATTCAGTGCAACTCTTTTATTAGTTTGAACAGTGTCTGCAGAGTTCTCTTCATCTGTGTCTGCTAAAAGAAACTATTTAAATGTAACCAACTTGTTATCTTAACTGATCCAGGAATTGCAAGCTGAGTATCATTTTGTTTTGATAATGGAATTTATTACAGTGGGTTCTATCTATTCTTAAATGACCTCACTTATCCTTTCTGAATCATTGTCGCTTTGTGACTTAGAGCTTAGTAAAATTCCACACAAACTGATTTTTTAAAAGTTTTTTTTTAACCTATTTGTGTTCAGTCTGGTGGAATTCCGTACCCCAAAACAGCCACACAGAGTCCATCTGAAGTTATATAAACCAAATGTAAGCCTACTCCCTGGTCTCTTCTCCTAATGTAACAAAGGGGAGCAATGCTGATGAGTGGGTATGGGATCTGATCCTAGGAAATGGTGGAAATGTTATCTGCTTTTATTGAGGGGATAGTCCTGCCTTTTGTTACAGAAATTCACATTTGAATTTGGATCCTATTTGAACATTTCCTGGTTTTGGGTGTACAGAGAGCAACCATAGCCTCTGGGAAAGAATAGTGTGTGCATTTTGGTTTTTATGTTTTACCATCTTCACTTGGCAAAGAGGTTGCAACTTTTGCTCTTGGAGATGGACTGCACTACAGTCATCTTTTGTGCCTTTGTTACTTCTAGACTGGCTTACTGCAGCATGCTCTGCATGTGGTTGCACTTGGATACCATTTAAGAACTTCAATCAGAGAAGAACATGGCTGTCCACCCACTTTGTAGAGTTTTATACAAGTGCTTCAAAGACTGTATTAACTTCCAGCTGGGAATATTATTGGGAATATTTTGACACATAGTGCTCTTCTCTCCTTGACAATTAGAATCATCTGGGGCAATTGAGATGAGACCAGTGCAGTATCCTGATCTCTGAAACTTGCTTCATCCCCCACTTGGTCCTACAGATCCTGAGTTTGCCTACATTTTAAGGCACACTGCAATGTGTATCTGTTCACTTATGGCAGGGGTGGGGAATCATTTTTTGGTCAGAGGCCATTGACCCACAGGAAAATCAGTTAGGGACCATACACAAATTAAAAGCAGCAAAATAAAACAAAAGCACCTCGCTCACCTGCTGCCCACCTCATTCATACTCAGCTCAGGGCTCCAGGGCTTGCCATGCTCCAGCCAGCTGGCACTTGTGCTCCAGCCCTGCAGGGATGGCTGAGGCTCAAGGCTTCTGGCTCAGAGTATGGAGACTTGCCATGGGCTGAATCCGACCCATGGGCCAGAAGTTCCCCATACCAGACTTATGGCTTGCCTACATAGGAAGATTGACTGGCATTGTTACTGCAGAATTATGCTGAAGAATAGTAATTGTTCTGAAATGAAGTCTCTTTTATTCCAGGGTAGAGCACCCACATGGGGGAATTGTATTGGCCTGTCCATAGGAAAAAAATTGTCAGTATAGCTGTGCTTCTCAGTTTCCTCATGTAAGCCTACCCTAAGGGGATGAGTTGATCTAACAAGAGTATTATGGCTGGCAGGTACATCTAAATCTGCATACATATTTTAGATTGTTGTTTGCCTGGATGCCTTGATCTTTTTGGATGTTCAGTATATATGTTGAAAAAATAAATGAATGTATTGATAACTAGTATTAACTGGAGGATTTCTAATGCTTTTTATTATGGCTTTTTATTCCAGGAATGCATACCAGAGAAACTGGAATTAAAAAAGGAGATTTTTGGTCAGTTAGATCTTATTGTCAATAATGATGTTATCCTAAGCAGCTCTACTTCTACTCTTTTGCCTACTAAGTTGTTTACTGGCCTTAAACATGTGAAGCAATGCATTGTGGCACATCCTGTAAGTACTCCAATGGACTCTGTTTATGTTTAATCCCAGATATTTAATCTGAGTGTTAATGTCAGGGTGGTATCCTGCAGGCTGCTCAGTGCTCCTGAAAGAATACAAGAACTTGAGAGCAGGGCATGAGGACCAGCCACTGATAGAAATGTGTGTATGTCCATGCAGTCCTTGAACTGAAACTCACAAGGGTACCAGTTGTCTTGTGGCTCCATGGACTGCTGGAAAGGACTTTCTTTCAGAATTCCAGAACATTAATGACCTGTTTAATTATTCCATAATTTTTACATAATAAAGTTCTTGACTGTGGCGAGAAATGCTGTTTGGGATTGGGATATGGCTGGAAGAGGTCTCTTTTTAGTTAAATGAATGGGTATAGCTTTGGAAGGCACTGTCTTGTAGCTTTCTTGGAATAGTGTTTTATGTGATATTCACTAAGGGCTCATCTACACTGGCCCCTTTTCCGAAAGGGGCATGTTAATTTCACAGGTCGTAATAGGGAAATCCGCGGGGGATTTAAATATCCCAAGCGGCATTTAAATAAAAATGTCCGCCGCTTTTTTCCGGCTTTTAGAAAAGCAGCTTTGAAGTAGGAATAAGATCCTCCGGAAAAGGGCTTTTTTTCCGGAGGATCGGGGCCAGTGTAGACGCTCTTTTCCGGCTTTTCTAAAAGCCGGAAAAAAGCGGCGGACATTTTTATTTATATGCCGCGGGGGATATTTAAATCCCCCGCGGATTTCCCTATTACGACCTGTGAAATTAACATGCCCCTTCCGGAAAAGGGGCCAGTATAGACGTAGCCTAAGGGTATGTCTACACACAATTTTTATTTTGGGAGAAGGATGCAAGTACCGCAGCGCATTTGCATACATCCTCTGCTTTTTTTCGGAAGAGGTTCTTCTGGTATTTACCTGCGTCTACAAGCCGCTGAATTTCAAAATAAACCCTTATTTCAAAAGACCCCTGTAAACCTCACTGTAGGAGGAATAAGGGTTCTTTTGAAAAAATAAAGTATGCATCCTTCTTCCGAAATAAAAATTGTATGTAGACATACCCTAACATACCCAGAGTGTATTAGAGGAGCAGGTCAATATAAATTAGTAAGTAAAAAAAAATGAATCTTGAAAAGAAGTTGTGTAGGCTGCTTGGACAATGTTAATAGTAACATTATTACAGAAAATCTTTCTTTTGAGATGCTCCCTTGAAAAGAGGTATGTTATTTATAATCAGCATCTGAATAACAAATAGTTTTGAAAGTTAAGAATAAGTCAATGATTTTAATTGATTTGACATAGAGTGCACTGATAATATTGGAGTGAACTCAAGTGTGGTGTAACTCCGCTGACTTTAGAAGAATTACAGCTGTGGTGGTTTTGGCTTCCTGGACCTGATTTTCTGATATGTTGAGTTCATGCCATTTTTGTTGTCAACTGACTTTGTGAATGCCCTGTACTTCTGAAAATCAGGACCTTCTTGCTTATGGAAAATGCCCATTCTATTGTCAAAAAGTACAGAAAGAGGCTTTACATTTAAATGGTTCAATGTAACAATGTTAATTAATACAATGTTTTTTGTTGGTCTACTTCAAGGTAAATCCGCCCTATTACGTGCCGCTGGTTGAACTGGTTCCACATCCAGAAACAGAGCCATCTACAATGGATAAAACTCATGCTCTGATGAAGAAGGTTGGACAGTCACCCATCAGATTAACCAAAGAGATAGATGGGTTTGCTCTGAACCGTCTCCAGTATGCAGTTATTAGTGAGGCATGGAGGCTTGTAGGTGTACGTGTAACTTAATTTTCTTTGCCTGCACTACTGGTTTTATAGACACAACAAACAAGCAATACTGTAGTGTTTAAATTTCCTTAAGCTTTTTGTCTTCATACTAAACACCCAGCCACTTAGATTATATGAAAATAAAGACAGATATGTACATTTTACAAAAATTAGAGATTTTGATGCTTTCAAATACCGAAGACTGAGAAAGAAAAGCTAAGTAATAGGAAAACGAGAAACACTAGAGCTGTTCCAAAATTCTGTAATTTTTAACACAAACAGAAGAGTAAAGTTAAAAGGTCAAAAACGACAAGACTGATTTTCAGGTTGTTTCTTTTTTTCTCCATTCTGAAAGAATGTTTGTTAGCTTTTTTTTTTTTTTTTTTTTTTTGCGCTCAGTGAAAGGGTAATTAAAATAATATTTTAAATAGAAACTCATTTACCTTTCAGGAATTCCTCTCTCAGGGAGCTATTTGATACTGGTATTTAAAGACAGATTTCTCCACCTCCTGCCCGTTCAGGCCTTTAGCTCATAATCATTTGTTTGTGACATTGAAGCTTTTCCCACAGCTACATGTTCTGTGCAACTAAGTATGACCTTTAAGCAGGAGAGGACTAGTGTGCCCACTATTACTGAGGGAAATTAAATTGTATTTTGGACAGGGCCAGTTTTTTTTCTCTTGAAAAATGTTCTGATTTCTCAAGTTGTTTAAAAATTGCAAAGCACAGGAATATTAAATTCATAAGTTATCATAATTAGAGTAACAATAACCAGATGTTTGTTCACTATACATCTTGAAGGATCCCAAAGCACTTCACACATTTTATATTTATATTTCATTTCACCCATAACTGATGCTCAGCCTCTGTTCAAATTCCTACAGGAATAGTATCTAACAGTTTACATCAGAAAGTGAATGAGAAGGCTGCATCCAGTTTACACCATGTTATGGCGTATTGACAGACCTTCAATGTATAATGGGAATTGCTTATTATAACCAATTCTGACAAACATGTTCAAATAGTGAACAGAATGGTGCTTGAAGTTCTGAAATATAGGATATTTAAAATTTGTAGCTGAAGAAGAAAGTGTAACAATGCTGTGGTTCTAATTGCCATATTACGGCATGGGTTCCCCTCGGATGCCCTAGTTTAAGTTGTCTTTTATTTGTAATAAGTGAGACAGAAAGAGAATCCTCTGAACTGTCATTCATGCTTAAATTCGACACTTTACACCTAAGCTTAAACAAAGACATTAATTATCTTACCCATTACAAAGATAGCTTCCCCAGTTATCACCTCTAATATCATTAACTCACAGACATTTACCTTCCCCCCCAGCCCTGTTCTGTTCTGAAATTTGATTTGTCCTTTTCATATGTGTTCATTTTTTTAAATTGTATCCTTTGGTATATATGGTTGTGACAATTTTCTTCCCCTATGTGATCTGAGGAAGTGGGTCTGGCCCACGAAAGCTCATCACCTAATAAACCATCTTGTTAGTCTTTAAAGTGCTACGTAGTCCTGCTTTTTGTTTGAGATAAGACAATTACTTTATTAAAAAGAGTGTAATGCAGTGAAGTGTTCTAATCCTTGATAGTTTAACCTCTGAGAACTGAACACTCATCCACAAATGTTAGGTTGCCCTAGTAGTTCTAAGTTCTTAGGGCCCTTTTAGAATCTTTGGTTCATGATTTTGACTGGGGTTTTTCCCATCAGTCTCATAAGTGAGTGTATATTGCCTTCAGCTTTGCAATCCTCTCCAATGGATCATTTTCTCAAGTGAAACTGAGGTTTAGAAAGTTGAGGACCTTATTCCTGGCATTTGTTAATCATGCTTGGTTTTTTTCTACTCTCAGCATCTAGTCTCACTTTTGCCTGCCATTTATGCTTGCCATAATTTTCGCACTTCAGTCAGACCTTACTGACTTCTTTGTATAATTTTATAGGCCGCCTTTATATAGAAATGCTTGTATTACTGGTGTTCACACACTTAGTGAACAATGTAGATTAATAAGTGCTTGGATACCGTGGTGATATGTGCCTTTCCATGCCTAAGGAACAGATAAAGCCTCTCCCACCAAAACCTAAATACCTGCAAGGCCTTGATCTGTCTCATTCTCCAGCATTTTTATGTTCAGGGCAGGTGTACTGTGGACTTTTAAATAGATATTGAAGAGTCCTTAGTCTGTCATATTGTCCTCTGTGTGGTTAGTGGATAAGTCAGTTTTATGTATATTTGTCAGATCCCTTCCAACAGTCCATTCAGAGGTGAGCTTTGAAGAGGAGTTTGAATGAAGGAGATCGAGGATATTACAAGTGGAGAGAAATTGGAAATATCACAGAGGTTCTAGAGGATGCAAAGAGGACATGAAGCAGAACTAGTGCAACATAAATCCTGAATGGCAGAGTGGTGCAAGAGGAAAATGTAGGAAAAGCAGTGGCATATAGAGCCTTGAAGATGAGGGATTGGAATTTGAGGGATTGCTGTGAAAGGAGATGTAGAGCCTCAGGAGGAAGAGGATGTGCTCAGAGGGGCAAGAGAGCATCTGGCTCCCTCAGGGATTGTGCTTTCCTCTATACTTTTGATCAAAATGTAGAGTTCTGAGCTATTGTTATTCCTGGTGCTTTCAAGAGATCTTGAAAAGCTAATGAATTACAAAAAATGCCAAGAACACCAGTCCCTTTGAATTCACTGTAAATTCTGGGTGTCCATATGGAAAATCAGACATCTGACTTTGTGCTTAATATGTTTTTAGGTGTCTAACTCTGAAAGTTTTGGTAACACATGATAAAATGCTGACAGTGAAGTGTTAAGAACTTGAAAGTTCCTAGTTGATTGTTAAAATGTTGACTTGCAGTTTTGCATTCTCTAGGTGTTTTTTTTTTTAAATTAGGGTTGCACTTTGACTACTGGCTGGAGCTGAGAAAGAACCATGAAATTTGCTTATTTAGGTTTCATCCAAACCTCCTTTTTATACCACTACCCCAGTCCCTGCAGTTCTCTTTTATAATGAAACTGTGTTTCAAACAATTATGGTTATAATATTGAACCACTTAATCAGGGGTCTCAGAGTCCCAGCCTATGGACCATCCCTGGCCAGAGCAGTTGCACAATTCAGCCCAGAAGTCCCAGCAGACCAGGAGGGGAGGCTGCCCCTTCCCGCCCCCGAGGACGGAGCTTCAGGATTATTGAGGAGCGGGGCCTGGCACAGGGCTGCAGCAGTGATCAGGATCCGCCTGCACTCCCTGTGGCTCAAGCAGAGCACACTTGTCAGGCACACTTGTTCTGCTTCCCCATGGCTCCTGCCACCATGAAGATTGCTGGGGGGGCTCAACCACTGATGCCGCCCCATGTCAGGCCTCCCCAGTAATAGCCAAAATCACATCATTGGAATAAGGGGTGCCCTATGGGAGGGTGGTGGTGAACAGTTAGCATGTCTCAAAGACTTTTCGCTATTGTAATTCTTGACCTTGCACCTTATTTCCATTATCATTCTTGCTGTATTATATCTAATTTAGATTAGTGATATTAAAATGTGTTTATTTTTGTAAACGTGTAACCGCTGAATTTTTTTAGCATTTACACGTATATGTGGGGGGTGGATGTGGGAGCTAACTTTTGCGGGGAGCCAGCTTAAAAGCTGGTTCTCTGCAAGCACTGGCTCCCATTTCCCAGCCCTCTGCCCCTGCTGTGCTGCTGCCTTTCTGATAGGCCTGGCTTAAACAACTCCCCGGATGTACTGGCTCCCACCTGCCCCCCTGTGCTGCTGCCTCTAATACAAAGGCAGTAGCGCAGGGGGAGGGGCAGTCAGCTTGGTGGGAGCTGGTACATGCAGGGAGCCGGCTTGAAAGCCAGCACCCTGCATGTACGAGCTCCCACCTACTCTCTCCCCCGACTGCTAGAGTGCATGGAGGGGAGGAGAGGCTGAGTGTGACCATGAGGGTTAAGCAATGAGCTCAGGCTCATCAGTTAATTTATGTACCTGGGTACACGTTCACATTCCTAATTTAGATGGTAAGATCCTTGTTACCATCAATATTATTTGTCTGCTAAGCACTGTGCACAACTGCAGCATTGTATAAATAACAGTGGAATCCATTTGTACTGCACCTTTGTAGCATAGGACTATATTGCAAAATTAGACAGCTGATATCTTATTCAAAAGATACTCGTAAAGTTATGGGTAACACTTCCTGCTATTCAGAGTCATTTATCACAATAGTAGCTTTGAGATAGTTTGGTCTTATTTTGAAAATTGAGGACTGTCTTCCTTTTGTTGACTGATGATCCAGACCATATTATAAATGCCAGGCTGGTGTTTGGAGTGGTTCATATTACAAAGCTGTGGAAATTGTGAAGAGTAACAAGATAGTTTTTTCAGGAGGTAATGATCTGCTCACACTAAGAATCTTGACAGCAGAATGAGACTTGAGCTCTGAGTTAAAAAAAAAAATTTCCCCAAGGGAACTTGAGTGTACATTTTAAGATTGTTTAATTTGTCTCTCTGTGAGCCCCAGTGACCGTGTGAGCCCCAGTAACAGTGTCAATTTATTTTCTGTTTAAAAGTAAGTTGCTTGTGGCTTGTCTAGTCTTAAGGAGCAATCTCTGTCATTTGGGCCTTTCCAGCCTCTTGCAAAAACAAAATACTTTTTGTGATTGTGTGTCCAGTTAGTTTTCGTAGCAACCAGGTGCACTGGCTTCACTCCCTAACCTGTGTACCTCTCTTCTCAGCTGAATAGCTTTGGCATGTCCTGAATGTTGACAGAGATCTTTATTTCTATAATCATTATCTGTTGTGTTATTTGTATTACAGTGTTACCTGGGGGACCTCTGAGAGAGAACAAGGAGGACAAGAATGGCTTCACTGGCTAATTTGGGAAGGGTGTTCTATGCATGAAAAATGGTTTGGAATGTCAGTGGGAAAAGTGGATAAATTGTTGGCTGAGTCTGGGAAATGGGGTGGACTAAGGGGCAATGGAGTAAGGTTCATGAGCAGAAGTTA